ACATCTCCTGCTGTCTCATGCTATCCTCCAGCTCTGTGCTTAAGTCCTAGACACGACGGTAGAATTGTTCCTCAGAGATCAGGAGCCAACAGCCAGTTTGGCAATATGCAGGGCCTGTAATGCTTAGCTTCATTTTCCTCCAGTTTTAAGGCCCCTTTTTATTTTTTTAACCCGACTATCATTATTATGATTTGAAAGTGACCGGAGTGGTGCCTCAATGTCCAGAAAATTCAAAGAGTCCAAAGGTAAGGCCATCAAAAGTCATAGGCTGACACAATCCAAGGTCAGGACTTTTGACAGTGGCCAGCAGCAAAGTTAGAAGAGGATGCTGCAGAACACCGCCAAAATGAGGTATTAGTCTGCTTACTTAGGAGGGAGGAACTCGTATCTAAATCCCTTGTAGGCAGAGAATGTCATCACCACCACAGAATTAAGTCAAGCTGGCTTAGGAGGGGGCCTTGAATCATTCTCATGAGCTGACAGGGCAAACAAAAACACAACTCTGAAAATAAATGCACACATACTCCTAGCCTAATGTCATCGCGTACTCAAGTACAGCTAATTCCTTCCTCCCCCAGCTCTTACTAGCTATAACCTGGTTACTGCTTTTACTGGAGATGGCAGCTCTTGCATTCTGAGAAATAGAGACTACATCATTCAAACTCTAGCTGTGGATTTGTAAGACTACATTGGAGAAAGCAAACAAATTCTACAACTTACTGGGAACGAATCACAAAACAGCTCATCCTTCTGCAGCACAATGAACCGTAATAGTTACATAGCAAGCACACAGAGAGAAACAACTGGAATGACCTCCAAAGACTAAAAAAGCATCTCCTTCATCAGCTTCAACTGCAATGCTTTTAAAATTTCTGTGACTGCCCAAGCAATCCTGTCTCAGTGTTCCACATACTTGCACTCAATTGCTTTAGGTTCACCTCTCTAATTCTGGACAGTGGCTGAGTGAAATTCGAGCACAGATTTGTTAACTTTCAAAAACACAAAGAATTTGTTTTGGTTTTTTTCTACATCCAAGAAGAGGAAGTTTGTTTTAAATGCTAAACAAAACTCACCCCCAAGACCCCAAATCTTTCACAAAAGTTCCAACCACAGAGGAAGTCGATTTCAAAGTTGTGATTAAGGATTACAATCGCATTCTCCTTCCCATACTTGTAGTAACTCTCTGGGTCAGTGTAGAGCGTGCAATTGGTGCCTGACCACCATTCCAGCAACATCACCATCTCTGGAATAAAGAACAAGAAATATATGAATGTACATAGTATATGCAAAGCCACAAATTAGTAACATGTTGAAAGTCACCTCTCATCAGTCACCTCAACAGCACGTGGCAAAGAAAGGTCTGTAATGAAGTTGAAATGCTGAACATAAACCAGTCACACATCTGGACAGATAAGAGAAGGGAAATAAGAAGATTTCATGGAAAGAGGGAGCAGAAATCTCCCACAGCAACACAGAGAAAAAGGAATTTCATTTATTTGAAAACTGCAAGTTCAATGCTACAAATGATATTATCAAAATACATGTAAAATTAGCATTTATGGTTTACAATAGTACAGCAAAACTACATGAAGAACAGAACAAGTTTGTAGGGGAAACACACACACCTGTTCCTGACACATACAGTTCCTCATGCTCCTCTAAAAACTGTACAATTATAGACCAGAAAGCATTTTAGACAAGACAACTGGAACCAGTTCTGTTACATGTACACCTTCTGCATTATCCTTGTAATTTGTCAGAAATAACAGTCATATGCCCTGCTACAACAGATGCATTCTATGTTTGACAGGGGTATATCAATCCTCCGGAGCAAAGCCAATAGCTCAGACTGGATGAAGAACATCTGTCCCCAGACCAAAGACAAGGTGGGTGGCTGGCAAAGCATACAGAGCCAAGGACAGTTATTAACAGTATAACTGTCGGCACATCCCTTAGTTGATGAACTGATGAAGCAGATGGAGGCAGAGGGGTGGGGTTGGGAAACAGGGAAATCACTGTTAAATACCTCAAAACCACTCTGGATTGGCACCCAGATTCGTTCCCAAAACCTAATTGTAAGAAATGATACAAGGACTGGTAGGACAGTGATGGCTAAAACACAGCTGTACTTGCAACCTGGAGAGTGGTTTCTCAGCAGTCTCCTAACGACTATCATACAGCTTTCACCTTTGTATCTGCTTATCCCATTATCAAGTACAGGCAAGAAACACCCTTTGTATTCATTTTGCTTGTAACTATAAGCCTGACCACAAGACTTTGACAAAAGCCTTATTTAGCAAAGTCTCTCTGGTCTGGGGCATGGGAAGTTGAGGCAAGTCAGTAAAGTCAACAAGCTTGGAGATCTCTATCTCCATGGAGATGGAAAGAGAAAATCTAAAAGCAGTGGCCCTCCTCAAGCAACCCATGTCCTAAGCCAGGGGGACCATGGGACTAATGAGAGCTGCCTGTCAAGACGGAAAAGACAAGGAGTTAAGGGAACACCTCTGCTTCCTGTCAAAGTTATCATAAAACATCTGCACCAAAGCAAAGGTCTAATGCGAGGGGTTATTCTTTGCTAAGTGAAATGTATCCCCTTCTCAGAGCATATCCATGCTGTATGAATGTCTCTGATGGAAGGATGGAACATCTGAGATGCTCTCCTGGCTTCAGGCAAGCCTGAAAGCACCATAAATCCTCATTCAGCTCCGGGAAGATCAAAACCAGGCCAGTTTGTGGAACGTTTCGGAAATCCTTTCAGTTTAGGTCCCCTACTGGCCTCAGCTAGTGACAGAAAACAGAAAACTGCTAGGAACAAGTTGAACATTTTCAGTCATTATTAGCAAAACTAATTGCCTGAAGCTTTCAGGTGACATTGTGCTGTACACTGGAGAACAGGCATTAGTGACACGAATGAATTTTATTTAAGTATGTTACAGCCAGGCTAACAGAAAATCTCTATTCAAATAACATTCCCTTAATATGATAAACCCATGTTTATGGTACAGATAAATGACCGACTTGTCAGTCCCCCTGCTTCTTTCTAATCAGGGCGGGTAACTACTACCGTGGCAGAAGTACATATCATTCAATGCATGCTATTATGCAACAAAACAGTAGTGAGAGATGTGGAGGTTAGACCTAAACTACTGTATGTTAACTGAATGATGATTTCACTGGCTGGACACCAGTTTCCCAATGAAAGCCAAAGATGTTCACATCTCAGCGCAAGAGCTGTGGGGATACAGCAGTGTATACATGGCTGAGCTTCCAGGCTTCCCCTGCTACGAGGTGCCTTGTGACACACATTCAAAATATTACATCTTTCTAAGGGTGTAGATTTCTATTAGATTTGTATTGGAAACAAATCCCTCCACTCCCCAAAACACAGCAAACCCGAGTAATAACCGGGGGGAAAAAACCCCCCACACTGTAATTTGCAAACCTTTACAGAATCTACAGTCACATCCTGGGGTAGAACACAATCACAGAAAAGAGAAGATGTTAGTGACAGGATTAGTTTATCTTTTGCTTAACTAGGAACACAACTAAGAGCAGAAGTGGCTGCCAGATGGCATTTTCTCTGTTTTAACCTCTACTGCCATTAAACCTATTGCCTAAAACAAACAAGTAGAGATGATGACTGTGAGGCCCTTGAAGCAAAAGCCAACTTCACCTGAGAAAAACAACCTCAAAGCCATCCCACTTCAAGAGTGTTTTTGATTTTGTTCTTTTCCTAAGGAATTTTAACAAAACTAACAACATATCACAAATCTCACTACGCAGGTATGCCACATGCATAGAGCTCTTCAGTTACATATTTTTAGTCTCAAATACATTCCAAAAAAGCACTGACAAAAATATTTCTGTGTGTGGTTTGATTCTTCAGGCTTCACATAAGCAGGACTTTTGTTTGAACAAATACTGTAGAAATAGGTCCCTATTCCTCACCTCGCACGCCCATTTGTCACTTATGTGCTCAGGCAGGTGCTGCAGAAACACAAAGCAGGCACTGAACACCTCTGTATAAATACAATAAATGCCATCTGGCAGCCTTTAAGTTCTTAACACGTTTCTTCCCCTCATCTTCCCTACTCTTTCTTTCCCCTTCTTCCCAGCCTCCTTTATCTTTGTGGTGATGATTAGTAGCGTCAATGATTAGTAGTGTCAGTTTGCGCAGCTCTTGCATTGTCACCAGCTTACTTCCACAACCTGCCACAGAAATTTATTACCCAGAAATTTGCTGTGGTGGCTCAGCAGCACAAGGTCACTCCTACACAGTCTCCTTCCCACCTTCACAGTGCAGACAATCAGTGCAAGCCTCTTCCTCTTTGTACATCAGTCAGACTGTATAACTAAAAATCAATTTATATAGCGGGGAAAAAACGATTCTCTTGCTCCCAGCCAGGGCTGGTCCAAGATATTCAAGGCCTCTACCCACTCCCTTTCATAAGGTTCTGGAGTTTGAACACCACAACTGAGCTGGTAAATTCACATTCACAAACACCATGGGGGTTCCCACCTGGCAAAGCAACTCCTCCAGCGACGCTTCCACACAATAAATGCAAAGGAAGGGGAAAAAACAAAAGAACATGAAATCTCTCATCCCTGCTTTGAAGGCAGTATGTTACTTCAGGAGAGGCTGATAACAGGGAGGAAACATGACTTCAAGTGCATAATATGGATACTCTGCTTAAGAATTTTGAGCTTTTCTACCTTTCTGGAATAAAAAGCCCCTCACCCTGCTACACAGAATGGCCCCTGCTTCCTGTGAGAGCGGACTGCTTCCTAGTCCTTCGCCTCAATGCCTGCACTTACAGAACAAATAACTAAAAAGAAAACATCTCCAACGCTGACCTGAACTATAACTAATTATATGAAAAGCATTTATGGGAAGAAGGTAAACACACACAGAGTTTACTGGGACTTGTTATTTGCCACCTCGAACTTTTGCAAGAATGAGTCATTAAAACAGTTAACACTGTTCTTCTATAGAAGCTGTTAGTAATTCCTTTAGGTAACTACCCTTGATTAGCCATGGAAACATTTGCTTACCAGACTAACAATAAAATGCCTATTTTAAAACGCAACTAAAAGCATATTTATGTATTGACTCAGTAAGTACAATAATTTAAAAATCTCAAGTAAGTACGTAACCTGTTTTAAAGAGCAACAGAACTGTTTCCCCCTATGACATTCTTCATTTTCTTTAACCTATGTATCAAGGCAACACCAAGAAAGAGAACTTGGAAGATTCTTATGGGAATACACAGTAAAAGCATAGCAAACTCTCATAGCAAAGTAAACACAAGACAAGTGGGCAAGCTCTGACCACCACTTAAAAGACCGGACAGGATGAATGGCTGCTTGATACTGAATAAGACATTGCACAGGAGACTGGTGAAAGCATTAAAAAAAAAAAGTAAAAATAAGGCTAAAGACAGACTGACAGATAGTGTAGTCCAGTCCATGCTTTTCTGTGGAAGAAAGACTTAGAACAGCTTACTACCTTTCCCGATTTTCAGACTACATCTACTAGGTGCACCTCCTAAACATTTTCCATAGAATGAATAAGTTTACAGGTAACTAAGAAAAACAAGTCTATTACCTTCTCTGGACTACTCAAAAGCCCTCTGCATACCACAGACGAAGTTAAACCCCTGAATGATACCTGTTATACTAACTGCAAAGCTGCCTAGGATGTTTTCAAAACATTTGCAAGCATTGATGACTCCACAGCCTCCTTACACTGGCTATTCTAGTGCTTCACTATGCCATCTAAGCTGACCAGTCATTTATTTCTGATCACTACTCCCTTCTTCTCCGCAGAGCTACAAGTAATTATGATGAAAACTTGAAGGCAGGAGTTCTGCTGTAAGCCTGTGCTGATTATGAAACAACTGGAGTTCAGAGCTGGAACATTATTACACATTTACAAGAAAAATTTTTAAAATAACTTATTATTATAAAAAAGCATGCACGTATTTCCTGTGAGGGGAACAAAAAGCTAGTTCTTGGGGAAAAAACCCTGTAACTGGTAAGTCAAGCAGTGCCTTCCCCCCTTCTCCAAGACGTGTGCGGGGGGAATCATTCACAGAGCCTAGCCAGACAAAGCACCAGCTCTCCAGCTTCAAGCAGATTCCCTCTCATTCTTTACTTTGCATGAGCAACACGTGTAGGTGTGTATTTGAGCACCAGTGAGATGTAATGGAGTAATCTGGTCCACTCCAAGACAGAGGTCCTGGT